GTAAATAGTATTAGTTTACACAAAAATTATGTTTGTAAAATATGTGAATTATACCTTAAAAGTGCATGTAGTTAGTACTCAATAAAGAGGGGTTGATTTGAATACGGTAACAAATAGTGTCCTTTTAAAATTTTCTTAATTTAAAGGGGAACTAGTAGAGTTTGGTTCCTACACAGCGAAAACAGTAAAACAATAAATAAAAAATAAAAAAAAAAAACAAGAACACCAAGATTTACTGAGGTTCATCTCAACTCAGAGCCTATGTTCTGCCTACCCAAATTACTCTCACTACTAGAAATAGGCCGTTTTCCGACGGAATCATTCCGACGGACTTAAATTCCGTCGGAGAATTCGAAAATTCCGACAAAATTTTGGTCTGTCAGAAATACCCGTCGAAAAAGCTAAGTTGCGACGGAAAATCCTCGAAAATATTCCGACGGATTTTTTTTCCCTTGGAATTTACTGCTTCCGACGGAATATTCCCTTGGAAAATTTCTCCCGACGGATTTTTCCGTCGGAAGCTGTAAATTCCGAGGGAAAATAAATCCCTCGGAACATATTAATTTCCTACGGGTTTTAATTCCGTCAGAATATTCCGATGGAATTTTACCCTTTTCCGACGGAATTTTATTAATTAAAAAAAAAAAAACAAAACCTAAATAAAAAATAATCAGAAATCCCCCCTTCTCTCTCCTATTTATCTTTCCTCTCCTATTCTCTCTCCCCACCCCTCTTCTTCTTCTCTCTCCTCTCTTCTTTCTCTCTCCTTTTCTCCGCCCTTTCTTCTTCTTCTTTCCCTTTCTCGGCATTATCACTCTCATCCCTCCTTCTTCTCTTCTCAACACCAACCGCCAAGAAGAACACCACCGCAACAACCACCAAGAAGAACACCACCACAACAACCTCCGAGAACACCAACACCGAAAACAGTTCTACATTTAATTTTGGTTAGAATTGGATCTAGTTTTATTTTGTTCAAATTTTCAATGTATAACTTTTTTTTTTTTTGAGATAATTGTATATTTATGTTAAATTTATGCTAAATTTCGAATTGTTAAATTTCAATGTATATTTTTGTTAAATTTCGAATTGTATTCATTTTAGATCTATTTAATTTAATTTTTAATTTCTGTTTTTACTTTTATGTTATGAATTTTTTTTTTCACAGGTTAGGGTTTTTTTTGGTGGGTGGTGAGGTGGGTTCGGGTTGGTGGGTTATGGTGGGGTAAACCGGGTTATTGGCGGTGGTGGGTTCAGGGTGTGGTTAGGCGTGGGGGGTTAAGGTGTTTTTATGAACGAATTTTTTAGGCGGTGGTGGATTAAGGGTGTGGTTAGACGTGGTGGTTAGGGGTGTGGTTAGACGTGGTGGTTAGGTTTTGGGTTACAGGGTTTTGGTGGGTTAAGGTGTGGTGGGTTACGGTGGTGGGTTAAGGTGGTGGATCTGGTGGGTTAGGGTTAGGTAGGTTAAGGTGGTGGTTTACGTTGGTCGGATTGGTGGGTGAGGGCGAGGACAATTTTTCCCTTTTTTTTTTCCGGCAGGTTCCGACGGATTTGATTCCGTCGGAATTTTTCGACGGACTATTCCATCGAAAGGTCAAGTATAACGACGGAATCAGTTCCGTTGGAACTTTGCGACGGAATTCCCAATTAAGTCAAACTTGACTCCGACAACCATAAATCCGTCGGAAATTCTGTCAGAATGGACCTTTCTGATGGAATTTCCCTCGGAATATCGCGAAATTCCTACAAAGGGTAATGCGACGGTGCCTTCCGTCGGAAATGGGCATTTCCGACGGAATTTCAGGGTTTTCCGACGTATTTTTTTGGTTGTTGATTGGCTGTTTTCTAGTAGTGTCTTATTATATAATCTCCTCTGAAAAAAACTAAATTAATTACAATCTATTGTTTACCTACTCAAGTCAAACAATCCCCCACACCTAACTCTAGATGTGATATGCGCACTTGAGCTCACAAATAATGCTGCCCAATCACTAACCCTTTAGTGATTTGATTACAAACACACAAGCTCTCTAAATAATGCTTTCTCACAAAGCTAAGGTGAGATACAATGAAAATCATAACAATGTGTGAACTACAAATTGATAAATTGACGAGCCGTTGTTCCCAAGAGTATTTGAACTTTTCAAATGAATCTCCCAAAATATGCGTGAAAATCTTAAGCTCAAAACTGAAAAATGTAATTGTGTTAGATAAGTTCTTGGGATATAAATTATTTCTTGGCCTAAGAGATTATTATATCTTGGGTGATGATATTTTAGAGAATGCATAAAATTAAATTTGGGGAAAAAGTGGGATCCTAGCAAGTGAAAGAAAATTTATAAAATTGATGGAATCATTCCTTTTTACGAATTAGTATAGGGTACTCCTGGAGCATCTAATATTTAACTCCAGGCCCAATCTAAATTAATGTGCAAAAAAACCCAACTAAAAGAAGCGCGTGCGAGATTTCGTTTTACGAAATAACAAATAAAGAAAAAAAAATACCCCTATATGTAAGAAAGGCGGACCAAAAATCAAACCTTTTTATTTCTCTCTCCCCTCACTTTCTTTTTTCTTTCTCCCTTTGAAATTATAGTTTCTCCATTTGAAATGGAGTGAAAAATCTTCAACTACATCCATTAAAGACAAAATTTCTACTCAAGCAAGCCCAAAACTAACATAAAATACTTACAAAAGCATAAAGAGAAGTAAGTTTTTGAATAATTGTAAAGTATTTTGCTAATTTGAATAATTGTAAATTTTTTAACATTTAATATGCAATTAATACATGGAGATATAATGTAGTAGATGAAGATGAAAAAGGAGATAAACAAATTTCGCTTCTATATTTTGATTTTAGGCTACTATTATCTCAAGATGATGTTATTGTTCTTTAGATCTTATGTTATTTTGTGTTTAATCTGTGTTTTTTTAGTCTTTGGAAGTAGATTATGTTACTTTATGGTGACCGTGTATTACTTTGTTGAATTTTGTTTCTAAATTTTGATTTTAGGCTACTATTAATTCAAGATGATGTATGTTACTGTTCTTTAGATCTTATATTATTTTGTGTTTAATCAGTGTTAGTTTAGTCTTTGGAAGTAGATTATGTTACTTTATGGTGATTGTATGTTATTTTGGTTAATGTTGTTTCCAAATTTTAATTTTAGGCTACTACTATTTCAAGATGATGTTATTTTCTCTTAAAATCTTATGTTATTTTTTGTTAATAAGTGTTACTTTATTTTTTAGAAATAGATTTTTGTTCTTAAATGATTTCTTTATTAAATATTGTGCCAATTGGATGATGTTCTGAATATTATTGTTGCATGAGGTGCTTGATGTTCAGTAGTGGAGGTGTATGTTATTTTGTAAATGAAATTATTTTACTTAAAACCTAATGTTATTTTGCTTCTTAGGCTTCCGTTATTCAATTGCGTGGTATTATTTATATGAATTTTGTTTTGCTATTTTGTTAATGAGTTTAAGATTATGCTATTTCATATTAAACTTTGTGTTATTTCATATTAAACTTTATGTTATTTGTCACACAGCTGATGTTATTTATTTAAATTCTATTGTGATTTTGTTTTAATCCTTTGATATTTTAATGGTATTTTATGTTATTATGTTTTATACGTATCATATTTTATTCATATCTTATGATAGTTACGTTTTAAAATCTATGTTGTTTGTTCATATATAATGTTATTATGTTTTAAACTAATGTTATTCTTAAATGACATATAAATTGATATTAAGAATAATGGATGATTGGATTAAGCAGAATGAAATAATTGCAATTGGAAGAGAAAATTGATTGAATTCACAAATTTGAAGAAACAAAATTGAAATTGATTTGAGAGAAAACAGAGGTAAGCATAGTAGCGATGAAAAGGAGGAAAAACAAAAGTGAGGTTGAACTTTTATACCTAACACTCAAACAAAATTCGGCGGTGTTTTTTTTTTTACTTTGGAGTACCATGCACCATGCACATGGTACTCCATATGTAGGGTAGAAATTGTGCCTTTTTACTCATAGAATTATAAGTGTATCAACTAAATCCATTTGAAAAAAGAAAAAAAAAACATGTGTCAACTTAATAGGGACAATCCTATAAGGAAAGCGTGTCAACTAAATAGGGACAAATGGAATATAAAGTCAAAATAAATAACTTTAAAAATTATTGCACGCATCACGTGCATATAAGGCTAGTCTATTGCGGGTGAGCGTGGTGTCTAGCTTTTAATATACAGTAGTTAGTGTGTATATATAAATTTAAAAAGCTATGCACACATCGAGTGCATATAGATCTTCTCTTATTTAGGCTTGGAAACCAACTTCGTCCTTCTCGCGCCCATTGAGGGAATTTCATTTTATGTGATAGATTTTGTAAAAGGAAACCTCAAAGAATAGTAAAATAATGTGCATAATGATATCATATTAGCAACAAAATTAAAAGTTTAAGCAAAGAAGTACGTTAATCTTAATTAGTCTGAATTGTATCTTTATCTCTTGGCTTGCTCTGCATAGTCAATCAATGGCATCTTGTAATGTCTTGGGTTTACAATGTTCGCTACAGTAGTCAAGAGCAACTGCAACTTTCACTAGATGTCTGCATCTCTTATTCCTGTTTCTCTTATTCCTGTTTTTATAGTCAAAATGTCAGTCATCAGGGCAATCTAACCCCCGACTACAGCTAAAATATTCCTCCAAGTGCTTCAAGCCTTCAATGATCCACAAGTACAAGATCACAAATAGAGATGTCTGCATCGTCCATGGCATACATCCCCACACGAACACACGGACAAGGACAAGGACAAGGACAAAGAGAAGTCTACGCAGACCACAACAGATTCAGTGAAACCAGAAACACAACTGTTTTAATTAGAATTACTAATTTGAAATCAAGAATTCATATAAATAACAGAAATGTGAATAAACAGCTAGGGCAGAAGGTTTTTTTTGTCAATAGATTATTATCGAGCAAAGATGGGAGGAATAGGCAAAGTAGTAAACAATTTTATAAGTGATCATATACATAGATGAATGTCTTCGAAAATTTTAGGCAACAACTTCATATGCAACTTTCATACTCCATACTTCAAAGAGTTAAATACAACTTTGAATTGATGAGGAGCCATTACCAGCAAAAAAATCATAATCACACAAGTCCCTAATGGATTGTACAAGCAATAATGACATAATAAGTGGCACCAAAAAATATGACAATATTAATCTATTCAAACCGCTCCCAGTCTTCAGTTACTTTGGAAGATGATGAAACCGAAGGTGGAGTCAAGCTCCCAACTCCAGAATCAAATGTCTCCCAGTTGGTGGTCACTGCTACAGTATTGCTGCAATTATCATGTGGATGAGAGTTTCTTGCCTTCATGGCATCCAGTGTATCCACAAAGCCTTGCACACGACGAACCTGTTCAATCGAGCAAAACCTATTGTCAGGGACTCACATGAAGAAATAAACTAGGGAAACAAATTGCACAAACTCTAATTGAAGAGAAAATTATCAGTTTCAATCGATCAATCAATCAATCAAAGCGTTAATCCCATAAGTGGGGTTGGCTACATGAACCAAAAGTAATTATTCCGTATAGTCATCGACAAAAATCTTCCTCTTCCATCCCTTACGGTCATATGCCTCATTCTCATGCAAATCAATAAACTTCATATCCTTCCTAACTCCTTCCAACCAAGTCATTTTCGGTCTCCCTCTCCCTCGTTTAACTCCTCCATGGTCCCACTCTTCCACTCTTCCACTCTTCATACCGGTGCACCCTCGGGTCTCCATCTTACATGCCCAAACCAACGCAGATGATTTTCCCTGGGTTTGTCTACAATGCCTGCCACACCCACTTTCTTGCGAATAGCCTCATTTCTAATTTTATCTCTTAAGAGTGTTCTCGCACATCCAACTTAACATGCGCATTAAGTCATTATTCACTTGCGCAGTTCCATACTCCATCGTATATTAGACCAACAAAATTAATAACTGCTTCTAGGATAGAATGATTGTATACTCTGACTAACAAGGACAAATAAACTAGGCACCCAAGAGCCAAGAATGAAGCCTAAATCAAAATGATTAGGTTATTGGTTAGTGAGACGGATTAAATTATGTGGGGATGTTATACTTTTGTTACTCCAGTTCCTAATTCTTTCAAAAATTTCACAGGTGTTAAACTTTAGCCAAACTTTGATGCTTACGACACTTCTTAACTATGCAAAATTTTCTTAAATGATTCATGAGACTCATTTGTGTTGCATCCTACATTGTTGTTTCAAAAATCTCTACTAGAAATACACATATATTGAGCAACAAAGGTTTCACAAATAAGGTCCTTGATAAATAATTACCAGCTCCCTTTCAAACAACAAGAAATACTACCTCCGTTTCTTTTTATTTGCAACATTTGCTATAAAAGGAAGCTACACATTAGATGCAACAAACGTTATTTTTCCTTTTTAAGATGTCATTTGTTTCTATGTCTTTCCTCATCATATGCATCCCTTCTTTTCTCTCTCGATTTAACACTCACAAACAAATTTTGCCTAAGACTCCGTGCAAACTCATTTGTTGCAATTAAAAAAGAAACAGAGGTAGTACATGAAAAATCAAGTCTGTAAAATACTTTGATTTTCCATCCATGCAATTAGGGAGCTTGAAATTCATTTTAGCATGATAAAAGTACAATGCTAGATTGCTAACTGAATAAAGTAAAGGGAAAAAAATAATAAAAAAGCAGCTAAGATATAGGAAATTCTCAAGCATATAAACGACATCAATTCCACGAGAACCAACAAAAAGAGACAGTCTTCCAAGTGCCACTTAGTGAGATAATAGTACTTCCCATATGCTAGTCAGGTAGTACAATATATATCATAACCTACACAGATACACTTGAACATAAGGCAGATCAGGAAGACTATATTCACAGCCAACATAAAGAGGAGTAATCAGAAATCGAATTCAAAGCAACTTGGGAAATCTAGAATTATTAGAAAGCCCTCTGCAACTATCTGATTTAGATAAAATATTTGGGGCAAACATGTCATTGATGTTAACAACTGTTTTGAGGTATTACCTCTAAGTTCTACCCACAAAGAGCCATTATCCAGAATTACAGACCCTATAATAACTTAAGACTTCTATAAATATACTTCAGGATAAAGAAGATCCAGAGGATGTAACAGAATATTCAAAAGAAATGTTTTGCGGTAAAGTTGATTATAGTTCCCCTGTAAAGAGGTCCAGAAAGGGGTATTGCTGTTTCAAATAAAAATACAAATTATCTACTTCCTGAAATCAGAAAAGCTCTTCAATCAAGTTCCCAAGGAGCAACAATGATTTTTGTCTATTTCACTTTTTCTGTTGGCCCCAAACTTTACAGGGATCACTCCCAATGTTAAATTCTTCAAAAGCTTGAGGTTACAACTAAATAGATCAAATTGTTAGGAGAAAAGTTACTAATGCTAGGCATTCCTAGAACACACCAGCAGCAGGCTTCATTATAAGCTTTGCTGTTGCACAATTGGCATATACAATTATTCTTTACTCACCACCTTTACTCAACAAATCCCTTCAACACAACTAAAATTACAATAGCACCAGCAGCTAGCAAAATGGTGAATATAGGCATTGAGGTAACAGAGTATTATGGCATGGAATTATGAATGGGAGGATGGCTTCTATCATAATTGTCGATTCATGGAAAAAACAACTACAGCGGTTAGCAACACTTGTCAACAACCCAAACCCCAAGTAAAAATCCAAACTAAGAGGAATTGCTACAGCACCATGCAACCTGACTTAATCTTCAAGAAAAATTGCATGTAATATTGTAACTCTCAGATTCACATTGCAGCTGCTCCCCTAAATTCTTAACTTGTGATGGGGCAATGGAGAGAAGCCAATATCATAGTAGAAGCGCCTTCTGAGTGTGTAAAGTTACTGTTATGAGCTATATACAAGGAATAATTTATCACAGTACTTGTGATGCAATTCACTCAGTTCATTCTAATATTGGACCTATCATATAACAAGTTGTGCACATAGCAGCAAGAAGCTAATGGCATAAATTCGTAGCAAGAAATTGTTGATGTGACTATTTTTCTACTAAATCATCGATATTTGGGTCTTAAAGCTCTTTTTCAATTTAACCCTTTTCCATTCTCTCCAATGAAGTAAAAGTGTAAAATAATTGTAATCTCCTTGAGTAAGCTACGGTCTCTACTTTCAAGTGAAACCTTGAATAAAACTTAGTTCTACAAATTTGCAGCTCTTTAGCTTCAACAGATAAGCATCCAGTGTTTTCTTGGGAATACAAGCACTAAAAGAAATGTAAAATATTAAAGGGATCCTTCTTGAGCACAAACAAAACCAACTCACCTCATTCTTCCGCTGAGTTTTTGCTTCTCCTTCGGCCTCAATGCTATCCAATTTCAGCAATTGAACCATAAACAACTCTGTCAAGATGATATATTCTTTTTCATCTACCTTTGTTCCATTATAAAGAGATGCTTCCAAGGATGAGACCTGCATATACGAAGGAAAATAACAAAGACATCACCTTTCTACTCGCCAAAAAAGAATTTCCATACCAGAAAACTACTATAGAAAAAACCTTTCCAAAGAAAGAAATGAAATTACCCTCTGAGAAAGTTTATCCACCTCTGCCCGAACTCCAGCAATTGCAGCAAATGCCTTTGATATTTCTTCTTTCTTTTTTGCCTCCTCCATTTTTTTCTCCTTGCTAGCAGGACGCTCCATAAGCAACAACTTTGAGTGGTCCTTTAAACCTGCCATAAGTAAAGTCTCACCATCTTCCTTCTCCCTCCCACGGAAGAACAGCCTTTGGTCCTCAGGCTCTAACCCAGTTTCTTGAACAAGAAGTTTCTTCATCTCACCTTTTTCCATTAATATAAATAAATTAGAAATTAAACATCTCTGTCTCAAAACCCATTTGGACACAAGCACTACCTAAGTCAACTTATACCATGATGTTTCAGAATCTAGGAAGTAAGGCATACAAGGGAGGAGATATTTAAATGAGGTATTAGGAAGTGAGGTGAATATTTAATACTCCCTCCATCTTTAAAAACTACTCTTGTTTTGACAGTATACATCTTTGACAATTAATATCTCTACATATTGGGAAGAAAAGTAAATATTCTAATTAAAAATAAATAAATGATATTCTGAATGCAACCATTGAGACAAAATCAAACAAGACCCCCCACATAAGTATGTTTTTCCTTATATATTGGGAATAATTAAGAAGACTCCCTCAATATGTGAATAGTAGCATGATTCTTTTAGAAACGAAGGGTTTATTACGTGACTTGTCCTTCTATCACATAGCAAACTACTATTGTAAGCATTTAATATGCCTAGAAAGGTCAGGATGGACACAGCCAAGTACCTCATCTCCGGCCACTCAAATAGGTAATTATAAACTCTTTCGTATAATTGTGTACTCTCTAGAATTATTCGTCACATTCATTCAACCCCTAATATTTAAGGATTTACTTAGATTTGACAAAAATATCTCCAACCCCACCTCTCACCAACATTCCATTTAATTGAGAAAACCAAAGTGAATTCAACCACGAAAACGCAGGGTTTTCTGGGCTAGCCCCAGTTTCTCATATTGAGAAACATAATTGTATCTCAAAATGGCATGTGTGTAAATAAAAGCAACTTTTTAAATATTTTAATAGTTTTTTCTTTTGTACTTTTTTGGATCACAATTTTCATCCTTCACGGGCTCATGGCTGCTTCACCCCTGTACACCATTGAACTGGTGTGAATTGCCATTTTTTTCGTCATTGTTTTGTTCGCAAACCACCATCACCTTTGTTGCCCCATATCTTCTTCACCCTTCTTTGCCTTTCCGGCCAAACGAAAAACCCTAAAAAAATTGGAGAAATTATGGCATGGTTAACCCTTAAGGGCAAGGTTTGTCTTCCTTCTCCATTGAGGTTGTCTTGCGTCTTGATTTCTCCATTGAAGGTTTTGATTTCCATTAATGGAGGTGAGAGAATGGAGGAAGAAGAAGAACACATGGTGTTATTAGAAGGCCAAAATAAGATCAATTTACAACATTAACCCCACTTATATAATCAAAATGACACAAATACCCATTTGAGATACTTATGTTGTTTATTAATATGAGAAACATGGATTTACCCGGATTTCTTACAAACATTCCAAACTGGTTTATAAGTGACTACAATTCCCAAATGGGGAAATATTAGGCCTTGTTTGAATGACAACATAAAATGGGGGAAGTGGAAGTTCATGGGATTTGATAAATTGAAGAGTTGTTTGGTTGACACAAAAAAACAAAAATGAGGGAAGTGGAAATTCATGGGAATTTCAACTTCCCACAAAACAAGGGAAGTAAATTACCTAGCCCCCCTAGGTCAATCAAAATTCATGGGATTTCAAAATTCATGGGATTTCTAAATTCCCACATTGCCAACCAAACAAATTTAGGAAATTCTAGGAATTTCATTAGGGAAATAATTTCCCATGAAATGCAATTTCCTATGTCAACCAAACAAAGCCTTATTCTCATATCAAAGCACTTCAATTCTGCTTTTAGAAGCAAAAGGGTTAAAAGATGGAGCTTTCCTTTTATCCAAGATTCAGCCCAAATTTTCAATTAGAAAAACTAATCAATACTCATCATGAAAAGAGGGGAAACCTCGACAAAACCCCAAGTGCTTCCCAATTCAGCCACTCTTACCACAAACAAGTTCATAATGTCCAACGAAAACAATCATAAACATTGAATAAAACCCAACAATTCTCGGATATAATATCACTACATAAACACCCATAACATCAAAGCAGTAATCCCCTCTCTCTAACCCCTAATTCTTCTCATTTCAGCCACTTTAATACAAATAAAACAAGTTCATAATGTCACAAGTTCCATAACTTTTGAGCTCACATATCGAAATTTCTCAATAAAATCAATCCTAAACATCAAACAAAACCCAAATATAAATAAACATAATACTTGTACTAAACATAAACTCTAAGGATGCCAACTAGCTTACAACTTACAAGTATGACCCACAACCTAAGATCGAATCCCGTCTACATAACGACCCATTGTGTGGTTCTATTTACACCAAAAATAACACAAACCCCACAATTAAACAAATCAACTATCATTATACTAAAGAAAAACCCCAGAAAATATTATTAATAATAAAAATTGAAGAAGAAAATACCAAAAGTGAATTTGCAAGGGAGGGCGAATTCGTAGGAAGAAGAGCCATAAACAACCTTGATCTTGTAGAAAGGAAGATTATTATTATCATCACCATCATCATCAAAACCATTCTCTCTCTTCTGAACCAACATACCACCAGGCCTCATCTCCCACTCTCTCTCTTTATCCATGGCTTCTTCAGCTGGGTTCATCTTAGTTTTTCTCTCTCTAGATTTGAGTTATGGAGGAATTTCAGATTATGGCGGAAAATATTTGTGGGGTTTATTTGATTTTGTAATTGGGTGTGATTTTGATTTTGATTTTGATTTGAGAGTTTGGGTTACATTTTGTAGAGAGGTGGGTCGGTGGTTTACGTCAGGTTATCGTGCAATTACGGATTTGTGGGTATGGTGAGGGGTAGAATTCAGGGTTAATTGACGTTTAATTGGAGGTGGAAAATGTTTTGGCTATGTTACGTTTTGTGGGGTTCTTCAACTCAGCTCGTGTGTTGTGAGACTTCTGACTCTTGCGAAACCGAATTTAGCCCTTGTTTGGTAATTATTTTATTTTATTTTTTTACAAAGAGAACAAATAAAGAAAAATAAAATTAAGAGGGTAAACAAAGTAAAGAGCGACGGCGAGCAAAATCAACCAGACGATGAGCCAAAGCAACCGAAGAATGAGGCATCTTTTAACCAGACAAGCCCGAATAATAGCAATGGTTTCCCGAATTTCCTGAATAATCCAAATGACTGAAATATCCATCATCTCTTATTTGGTAATTAATTGATAAATAGATAGATAGTGATCGGTTGATATAAATGGTTTGATCTTTTTAAATAATCTATTTTAACATACATTTTGTTTATTGCAGTAATTGTTCGTGGTAATTGCACAAATAACTTTTACAAGAAGTTGGATTGATCTGAGCAAGGTTTTCAAGATCAACTTATTATTCCAATAAACTCTTTAAATCATTTAATTTTAAAACATTAATAATATTTTATTCTAAAGTTGAACCATCTAGATGCTCCCAAAAAGCTAAATCCTCATCATCAATTGTGTGTCCATGCGAAACAATTGAGCTTAAGCGAATAATTTCTTTATCAAACAAGGTCTTAATCTGTGTGAACATATTAGTATCTCTAACTAGTAGAATTCGAGCTTGGCTAGACATATTATTGAGTTAGATTGTATGACATATTATTAGGTTATGTCGTATATTTTCGGGATCAAACTATAAAAACTTTGACCACAAATCATCATCAAATTATAAGACCAAATATTATATTCAAGTTAGTTCTTGATAGATTTGTTAAAATGTTTTTTTTTTTTCCTTTTTTTTATTAAACAAACCGAGCTAGGCTTATATTAATGCAAACTTATCCATGAGTACATATGGAGTGACTTTCGAGGGACAAAAGTTTTCCCACACCTGTTCATCTCCGAAGGGGAGAAGCCTAGCCAAGTGATAAGCAACATAGTTGCCATCTCTTCTTACATGAAACCATCTAATCATATTAAAAAAAAAAAGTAGTAGAAAGATTTCTCCTAAAACAGTATCCAACTCCGACAGAAAAACAGCTCGACAGTCAAGACGAGTAGAAATTGTCAAGCAATCGGTTTCCAGAATCGCCTTCGTTAGGCCATAGCGCTTACCAAGTCTAGCAGCCATTGCAATAGCCTTTGCCTCAGCCACTTTGACAGTCCAGTGAGCTCGGGTCCTTCTAGTAGTTGCAAAGATAACATCCCCATTCTAATCTCTTGCAACAACCCCCAAACCAACCCATCCATCGTTAGAAATCGCAACATTAGCATTAAGCTTAATGAAGCCCGCAGGTGGGGGTTGCCAAGTTTTGGGACTGCTCTTCTCTTTTCCAACTGACCCTTTGTAAATCTGGTTGGTGTAATTGCCTTGTTCTTCCGCATATCTCAAAACTCTGCCAACAATGACTGATTTTGGAGTGGATTTGTGCTAAAAACCCACCGGTTTCGCTATCCCCAAATGCTCCAAGCAAGGAAAACCGCCCTCTGCTTGGTTTTAGATTCAATTTTATCCTAGCTCTCCACAAGGTCGCACATTGAGTCAACATTGTTCCAGTTTACCATGCTCTTGCAATTACACTCATCCCACAAATCTCGAACCCTAGGGCAATAAAAAATGGCGTGACTTGCAGTTTCCCTCTCCACATTACACCAGGGGCAGGTAGCCACATAAGTCATGTGGCGCTTGAACAGCAGCTCACGAACAGGGGGTGTGTTGGTACACAGTCTCCACATAAAGTGTCTTGCTTTCGGACTCACATCAAGCTTCCATAAGTCCACAAAGACTTGGTGGAAGGGAATTTGGGTGGCGAATAAGACGCCAAGCTTGACGTCCTAACAGCGAAGTTTTAAAGATGTCAAGATCTTTAAACCCCATACCACCCAAACATTTAGGAGTGCACATATGAGCCCAACTCTTCCAATGAACTTTCCATTGATTATTTTTCTGGACCCACCAAAATCTCGCCATAACTGAGTGAATACTCTGAATCACAGACCCCGAAAACTTATAAACCCCCATAAGATATGTGGGAATTGCTTGGATGACGGATTTGAGCGAAATTTCTTTCCCGGCTCGAGACAAAAATTTCTCCTTTCATCCTTGGAGTTTTTTCCATATACGATCAAGAAAGGCCCTAAAAATTGCTTTTTTCGATCTCCCTGCTATGGTCGGGATGCCCAAATACTTCTCATATCTATCTACCTGTCGCATATTCAGGACCGTCATAAGCTCATCTCTTCTTGCCTCACTTACTCCTGTACTAAAAGAAACCTCTGATTTTTCATAATTAATTTTCTGTCCGGATGCTGCTTCGTAATGGTTGAGGATATCAACGATGATTGAGCATTCCTGCCAGTTGGCTCTTGTGAAAAGGAGACCGTTGTCTGCAAAGAGAAGATGAGAAACTTTCGGTCCACTTCGACTTGCCCTAGCCCCATGTAACAATTTCCCCCGTACTTTATTATGGATCATCCTAGAGAAAGCATCAGAAACAAGAATAAAAAGATACGGGGAAAGAGGGTCACCTTGCCGGAGACCTCTAAAAAGCGAAACCTTGCCCTTGACTCCCCCATTGATGACAAAAGAATAAGTCACCGTGCTTACGCAACTCATCACCAAATTCACCCATCTTCCATCAAAACCCATAGTAAGCAGAAGCTTCCGCAAAAAACCCCACTCAACCCTGTCATAAGCTTTACTCATGTCAAGCTTCATAGCAATGAGCCTTTTCCTGCTTCATTTCCATTTCTTCATAGTGTAGAAAATTTCAAGAGCAACAAGTGCATTGTCCGTAATTAACCTTCCCGGCACAAAAGCACTCTGCTTTTAGGAAACAATATCAAGTTGCACATTTTTTAATCTGATAACAAGAGCTTTCGACACAAGTTTATAAATCACATTACACAAAGCACTGGGGCTATATTATGTCATATTTGTCGGCTCTTTGACTTTCGGAATGAGGACAATGTTAGTATTATTCACACAGCTTAGAGAGATACTACCATGCAAAATACTACTGACAAAATTAAATACATCATCGCCAACAATATGCCAGAATCGTTGATAAAAAATAGTGTGCATACCGTCAGGGCCCGGAGCTTTGCAGGGATGCTTAGTTTAAGAGCCGTAAAGATTTCATCTTTAGAGAAAGGCCTAAGGAGTTCCGAATTAATGTCCTCAGCAATACATGGATCAACCAAGTGGAGAGCCTCCTACATGTCACGCTCCGAAGGTGAGATAGAAGAGAAAAGGTTATTGTAGTAGTTGGTGATGACTTTTCGAAGGTTCTTCTCTGACTCCTTCCAGCTTCCTTAGGCGTAAAAAAGTCCCTCAATTCTGTTTCTTTTCTTTATCTGGGACGCCTTATGGTAGAACTATTGAGTATTTTTATCCCCATCTCTAACCTCTGCCACTCTCGACCTTATGTACCAGTAGGCTTCATATTTATCATTTAATTCGTCCAACTTGCCTTCAAGTCTGATACACTCATCACAACTGCTCTTTGAGACCAGCTTGCTTTGTGCGTGCTTCAATTTATCTTCTACTTCACTGATCTGCTTGCTTAAATTATTAAGGTTATTTCCACTCCACTCAATGAGCTCACTGCCAACAGCAGCAAGCTTCTCAAACATGGGAAGCCCCTCAGCTTTTGACCACGCTTTCTTCACAACTACTTCACAATTTTCATCAAGGAGCCAACTAGTTTTGAACTTGAAACTTCGCTTCCCTTTTTTCTTTATCATTCCCGCAGCCTTGTGACAAAGCATGATTGCTGTATGGTCGGATTTATACCTCATCAAATGTTCCACAGTTGCATTCAGATAAAGCTCTATCCAATTAGAAGAAGCCAAGTAGCGATCAAGTCGTTCTCGCACTCGAGTTTTCACTGTATTCCCTCACTCCCAAGTATACCAAAGCCCTTTGAACCCCAAGTCACAAAGGCTACACGCATCAAAAACTTCACAAAATCCCTCCATTTCTCTCCTCACTCTATCTGCACCCCCTCCTTTTCCTCATACCCAAGTGTTTCATTAAAATCACCCCCAAAAAATAATAGGAACCTTCACTTCATCAAACAAAAATTATATGAGTTTCTAGGTTTTGTGTTTATCCTCCTCCTTCGGCCACCCATACATACCCACAAAGCGCCATACTACAACTCCATCTCGCCTTATATCCCCACAAATATGGTTTTGGGAATATGAGATAAGTTCAAAATCCACTTCATCTTTCCAGTAAAGGCAAAGACCTCCAGCCTTCCTCGACCCCTACTAGCTACACCAAATGCATTCGAACATCCAAATCATTCCTTCCAATTCTCGACCTCATGCTTCTTGATCATTGTTTCCGATAAAAAGATCATGTCGGGGGCATATTGAGAAATCCATTTGCGGAGCTGACGAACTGACCAAGAGTTGCCCATCCCTCGGCAGTTCCAACATAAGAGATTCATAATTCCCAGCGAGGTTGGGTTGCACCAACCTCCGCCAATTCAAAAGATGTAGTCAAAGCAACTTTTGAGCGTTTCCCTGCCCCCAAGCCCTCTGCCTCCACCTCTTCACTAGTAGAGCTTCGTTTCATAGGAACCAACACCTCCTCCATACTCACATTCTCTTAGAATCGTGCAATATATAATTTTCTTCCACGACCCTCCTTTCTTTTTTG